TGATCTTTGCCACAAAGTATCCCGCTTCAGCAGAATAGGGGATATTCTCACTGTTAACGGAGCCATGCTCAGAGTAAGGAGCGAGAATTGTTGGAGTATTATCATTTTCATCCAGGATTAAAATGTTGACAGTGACGTTGCTTGTAAGTGGAGGAACACCAGAGTCTGTGGCCTGAACTTTAAAGTGGAAAGTTTTTAACTCCTCATAGTTAAACGAGTGCAGGCTGACTATATCTCCTGTCTCTGAATTAACAGTTACCATTGAAGCCATTTGCATGGTCTTGGAAGAGCTGCTAATTAAATGATACATTGATTTTGCGTTTTCATTTAAATCCAGATCTGTTGTTGTCAGTTTATGAATAGTAGTTCCAATCGGACTATTCTCTTTCACATACAGAGTAATTGGAGAGTTCGGGAATTTAGGAGGGTTGTCATTTACATCAGAAACGTGAATAGTGATAACAGTTGTGCTGGACAGAGAGGGCGTCCCTTCATCTGTAGCTACAATATATATATCATATCGGGAAACAGTCTCTCTGTCAAGAAGCCTGTCCACTAGCAAAGAATAATAGTTTTTATAGTTGGATTTTAATTTAAATGGCACAGAACCTGTTATCTTACAGTTTGTGAGGCCATTTTTACCCCCGTCTTGATCAGTGATAGTCACCATAGCAACAGCTGTGCCTATTTCAGCGTCCTCTTTCACTGAACTCATGATTGAAGACACTGAGATTTCTGGAGCATTGTCATTAACGTCAATGACTTCAACTAAAACTTTGCCATGTGCACTGCGAGGAGGAGTTCCTCTGTCTCGGGCTTGAACGCGGATCTCAAATGCTTGGTTTTCCTCATAATCAATATTTCCTCGCACAGTAATTTCCCCAGTATTATTATTCAGGGAAAATTTGTCATCAGGGTTTAAACGTCCTCTTTCTGTAAATGTGTAGACAACCTGACCATTAATACCATCATCTAAATCACTCGCAGTGAGTGTTAGTAACGGTGTGCCAATATTTGCATTTTCAATTACTTGGACTTTGTAGAGAGATTTACTGAACACGGGTGAATTATCGTTCACATCCAGAACATTAACTTGTATTTGCAAAGTCCCCGTTTTGGGAGATTTTCCTCCGTCTATCGCAGTCAGAGTGAGCTCAATAACAGCTTGTTTTTCTCGATCTAAGGCTTTCTGCAGCACCAACTCAGCAGACACACTCTGGTCGCCAGTACTCTGTATATCTAAAGAGAAATAATCATTCGCGTTCAATTTATAAGTCTTCACTGAGTTAGCGCCAACATCTGGGTCATGCGCTATCGGCAACGGATGCCTTTCTCCGACATATGAGGACTCAGACATATCAATTGTAAATATATCTTCTAGAAAAGACGGGGCATTGTCATTAATATCATTGATTACAACTTCAATTCGATGAAGACTGCGAGGGTTACTCAATATGGCCTCGATATTTAAAGAGCACTTTACCGTATTAGGACATAGCTCCTCCCGATCAATTCTCTCGCTAACGAAAAGTACTCCAGATTCAAGATTGATATCAAAATACGGGGGTTTATACCCAGATGTAATCTGAAGACCCGCTGACTGAAGCTGCTGCACACTAAGATTTAAATCCTTCGCTAGATTTCCCACCGCAGCGCCTTTGTCCACCTCCTCAAAAATGGAATAGGATATCTGAGCCACGGACCATTCACAGAGACAAAGAAGGCTGAAAAACAGACTCCAAATATTATCCCATTGTCTTCGAGCAGCCATCGCTGTTTATACAAAAGTATGAAATCCTGATTTATACTTCCTGGAAAGAAACGCCAAATATGAAAAATATCCCTTCATGTATCCACTCTCGCCAAGGATCCTCACTCATTAGGGCCTTGATCGTCTGTGCGCTTCTTTCACAAAGCAATGCCAGATGGTGACGTTTCATCTTTTCGTCATTAAATGAGGAGGAGTTTCTAAACGCCAACGACTATATTTTTTTGCATGGTCTCTAGCGGCATCTTGTGGCATTTCTGTATTGGGTTACATGGCCCGAAATATAAGATGTTTTTTTTTTTTTAATATAAGGTATAACAGAATTAAAATCCATGCAGAATAATCCACAAATTACGTTTTTTTGGATGACATATACAGTTTAATGAATTGTTTGCATTATTAATGATCTTTTTAAAAAAAATTATTATTCATCTTTATTTTTGTACACCGCCCAATATTCAGCACAACGGACAGCACCAGACTATAACGAGACAAAACAGAAGAAAGCTGCTGCCAGCACCATGGACAGCGGTTCAGTGCACTTTGCATGTGGTTCAACTGCTAAACATAATTAGTACCCAATTTACCAAAATACAGCTATTAAACTATATGCCACTAATCTCTATGTGGCCGTAAACCAATAAAAATCTTAGGATGCCCTTTAAAAGTTGTAAACGTTCTTAAGAACAATTTACCGACTTACTCTGACACGTTTATTATATTTATACGGTGGCCCTGAGAGGCCAAACGGACTGCAAATTAAGAAAACAGGAAAAACGACAAAGGAAATAGGAAAAAAGAAAACACAAATACGAAAAAACAGATTTTCAAAAGCACAAGGGAAGTGTTTCTGGGGAGACAATAACCCGACGGACCAGTTGCAGGAACCAAAATATGCTAAGAATTGCGCTGGGAGACACTTAAAAGAAGTGGAGGATCTATCGGTTTTGTGAGGAAAGAAAAGATAAGAGGTAAGTGTGTTAGCCTAAAAATCCATCATCAGTATTATAGGAATCATGATAAAACACAACTAGATTGTCTTGGGTTCCTCCAACTGGTCCGTCGGGTTCTTGTCTCCCCAAAAACACTTCCCTTGTGCCTTTGGAAATCTGTTTTTTTCGATTTCCGTTGTCATTTTTCCTATTTCCGTTGTGTTTGTGTGCTTTTGCAGTGTTTTTCTTTTTGCTGGTGTTTTCTTAAATTGCAGTCCGTTTGGCCTCTCAGGGCCACCGTATATTTAACACATATTTAACAGATCTATTAATTCATTAT